GGGAGGAACAGACGCAGGGTCGGGTGACGGAAGGCCGAGCAGGCGAAGGGCGGACACCGGCGGGGACCGCTGCTGCGGCGGCACAACGGCGACACCTGGACCGCAAGCTGCTCCTCGGCTACCACCGGCACTCTCCACACCAGCACCCCCAGAGGGACCACCCCCAGGGCGACCGGGACGAGCACCCCCAGAGTCTGCGAACGGGGGCTGTGACAGCGGCAGCGGCGGCGGCGGAGGCGACGGCGGCGGCGGCGGCGGCGGGGACGACGACGGCTGCAGCAGCGGTAGCGACGGTGGAGGAGGGGACTGGGGAGGGGACACCTGGGGAGGGGCGGCCGGCGAGGACTGCACAGGAGGGCCACCAGAGTCAGAAGACTCCTCCACCGGGTCCACGGACGGAAGGGGGGTGACGTGGGACACACCAGAGGGGGCGGGACGGGGAGGAGGAGGAGGAGGGGCAGGGACTACCGGGGAAGGGGTGACAAGGAACAGGGGGGGGGTAACCGGGGGACCACGGTGGGGAAAGCGGCGGTAGTAGGAGACGGACTCGTCAAAGGTGACGTCACGAGAGTGAAAGAAGCGGTGAGACGGCGGGTGGTAAAAGTGCCAGTCGGACGCGTCAAGGGGAAAACCGAGGAAGACGCAGGGAAGGGTGCGGGCAGTGAGCTTGTCCGTGCCGGAGGCACGGACGTGAGCAAGGCAGCCCCAGACGTGGAACGCAGACGCGTCACCAGGAGACCCAGTCCAAAGACGGGTCGGCGAAACCTGCGGCTGCTGAGGGTGCGGCCACAGGTTAAGCTGGTGAGACGCGTAGCGCACAGCGAACGGCCACAGAAAATGGGGTGCACCGGCATGGATCATGGAGGTGCGAGCGACCTCCATGACCAAACCGATGCGTCGCTCAGCGACCCCATTCTGCTGTGGGGAGTCCGGTAGGGTGAACGTCTGGGTGATGCCCTCCGCACGACAAAAGCGACCAAGGACACCGGAGGCAAACTCGCCACCACGGTCTGAGTGAAGACGCAAGACAGGGAGACCGCGGTGGACACGCGCAGAGACAAGCCAGGGGATGAGAGCGCCAGGCACGTCGGCCTTGCGCTCCAGGGGAAAGACTGTGGTGTAACGAGTGAAGTCGTCGACAAGCACAAGGAAGTAGCGCTCTCGACGCGGCCCAGGGACGGGGGCGGGGCCCCAGACGTCCAGGTGCTGGGTCTGCAGCGGCGCGGCGGTAGGGGGAAACGAGGAGGAGTGAGGGGCACGGCGAAGCCGACCCTCGACACAAGGCGTGCAAGGTGGGGCGGGAGAGGAGGGAAACGCGGGGAGCGAACCTGGGAGACTAAGGACGAGACCGTGCTGGGACATGTGACGCAGACGCGGGAGCGCAGGGTGACCTAGGCGGTGGTGCCACAGGAGGGTCGGGTGAGTGAGGGACCGACAGGAGCAGGCAGCAGCAACCTGGGTAGACGCAGCCACCTGAGGGGGCGCTCCAGCCGGGGGGGTCACGGTGTCCAAAGTGAACAGGCCGGACACCAGGTCCCGGGGGAACGTGGAGAGGGGGGCACCAGTGGCGGCCTCGGTACAGACAGCATACCGCTCGTGGCCAGGGAACGTAGTGGTGACGCCAAGGTCCTGGAGGCAGCCGACACCAACTAGGTTCCTGGAGAACGAGGGGATATGCAGACCTGTAAGAGAACCCGAAGGAACCGCCGGACAGGGAAGGGTGGTGGAACTGCGGGCGACTACCGGACCGCCGGAGGGGTCAGCAAGAGAAACGGCAGCAGGAACAGGAAGCGGCGTCAGGGTGGTGGAGTCGCGGAAGAAACACCGAGAGGCGCCAGAGTCCAAGGTGAAGGAAAGCGAAGCCGAGGGGTCTGGCGACGGAACGACGGCGGAAGCACCAAGACTACACAAAGCAGGGGATCCTACGCCTGACGCAGCAGGGGAGGCTAAGCTAGGCACACCTACACTAGGCAACAGTGAGTAATAAGCGGGAAGCACACTAGAGTCATCAGCATACATCACATGCAGAGCGGAAACAATGGCATCCATGTCCATATCAAAGATCTGAATCTGACGACTAAGCAAACTGTGCCAGTCCGGGAGGTCTGGCGACGGGCCGAAGCGCTGACGAAAGAGGTCGTCCAGGCGACGAAAACAGCGGGGAGTGGAGTGACCGATCTTACCGCAAACGAAGCCGCGGCGAGGACCGGTCTGGATCTGGTACTGACAACGCCCGCCGCCAGAGCCACCACGCGGCACACCACCACGCGCCCGGCCACCGCCAGAGCCGGGCCACCCTGGCGGGAGGACACTCGTCTGCCGCGTCTGCGACGGCTGCTGCGGCTGCTGCGAAGGCTGCGACTGCGGCGACTGCTGCGGCTGCTGCACCTGCAGGGGCGGCGACTCAGCTGAACTGGGCAGGGCCCCCTCGTCCACTCCAGCACCAGGCGACCCGACCCCACCACTACCCCCGCCCGCACCCCCGCCGCCTCCTCCGCCGCGCCCAGCCTTGGGGCGGCGGCCCTTCCCCGAACGGACCTGCGCTGCAGCAGCAGTCTCAGCCACTGCGACAGAGCCGTCGGAGAAGGTGCACTGAGCGGGGGCACAACCCTGAAAGATAGGGACCGGCACGACACCGCTCGCCTGGGCGATGGAGCGGTGGCGGGTCTCAATCACAGTCAGGGTGTCTACAAAGTCAGTGAGGGTGAGGTCTGCGGGGTGAACGCTAAGAAAGCGGTCGCGGGCGACAGCAAGGCGGTCAGGGAGGCGGGTGGCAAGCAGGTAGAGGGTAGAGGTAATGGGCGGCTGGTGGGCTCTAAGCTGGGCGTCAGTGCAGGCAGCGCGCCATGTCTCATCTATCGAGCGCAGGTGGGCAGCGAGGTCAGAGACAGTGGGGAAAGATGCAAGGTCAGGAAAGAGCATCGGAAGGATCAGGCGACCCACCGAGGCAGCCGGAGGGGTGGAATAGCGCTTGATCACAGCATCTAAGTATGCCTGAGCAGTAGTGAGGGACCTAAAGCGAGGACGCTCGGATGGGGGAAGGGCGTTGCTAATGGCAAGCTGGGCAACAGCATCGCGAGAAAGCTAGACAGAGCGCGCACGGGCAGTGGCAGCAGTAGACTCACGCTTAGTGGGTGTGGGGTCAGCGGGCAGAATAGCAGGGGGGTCTGGGCAGGGGAGCGTACCGTCAAGGTGTGCGGAAAGCGGTTCGCCATCCTGCCGCTGGCCAGTGAGTTGGCGGCGGAGGTCGGCAAGCCACGCCTCGAACTCTAGGGGCTGACCTTCAGCGTCGAAGCGAAGCTCCGCCGCCATCAGGAACAGTCCAGTGCGGTGCAGGGCAGTGCAGTGCGGTGCAGTGCGGTACAGTGCGGTGCAGTGCGGTGCAGTGCGGTACAATGCGGTGCAGTGCGGTGCAGTGCGGTGCAGTGCGGTGCAGTGCGGTGCAGTGCGGTATAGTGCGGTGTAGTGCGGTGCCAGGCAGTACAGTGTGGTGCGGGGCGGCACTGAGCAGGGCGGGGTGGGGGGGAACCGTACCAGTGCGGAGGACGGGGCCGGGGCTGGCCCGACGGGGCCGGGCGGGCGCGACGGGGCCGGGCTGGTGCGACAGGGCCGGGACGGGGCGACGGGGCCGAGCGGGCGCGACGGGGCCGGGCTGGGGCGACGGGGCCGGGCGAGTGCGGCAGGGCCGGGCCGGTGCGACGGGGCCGGGCGAGCGGGACGGCGGCCGGGCGGGTGCGACGGGGCTGGGCGGCTGCGACGGGGCCGGGCGGGTGCGACGGGGCCGGGCGGCTGCGACGGTGCCAGGCAAGGGCGACGGGGCCAGGCGGCTGCGACGGGGCCGGGCGGGCGCGACGGGGCCAGGCGGCTGCGACAGGGCCGGGCGGGCGCGACGGGGCTGGGCGGGTGCGACGGCGCCGGGCGGGCGCGACGGGGCCGGGCGGCTGCGACGGCGCCGGGCGGGCGCGACGGAGCCGGGCGGCTGCGACGGGGTCAGGCAGGGTGCGACGCGGCCCAGGAGGGGCGCTACGGGGCCCAGGAGGGGCACGACGGGGTGCCCTGGAGAGGCGCTACAGGGGCCCAGGAGGGGCGCAACGGGGCCCAGGAGGGGCGCTACGAAGCCCAGGAGGGGCGCGACGGGGCCCAGGAGGGGCGAGACGGGGCCTCGGAGGGGCGCGACGGGGCCCAGGAGGGGCGCGACAGAGCCCAGGAGGGGCGCTACGGGGCCTGGGAGGAGCGCGACGGGGCCCAGGAGGGGCGCTAGGGGGCCTGGGAGGAGCGCGACGGGGCCTGGGAGGGGCGCGACGGGGCCTGGGAGGGGCGTTACAGGGCCCAGGAGGGGCGCTACGAAGCCCAGGAGGGGCGCGACGAGGCCCAGGAGGGGCGCTACGGGGCCCAGGAGGGGCGCGACGGGGCGCTACGGGGCCTGGGAGGACCGCGACGGGGCCCAGGAGGGGCGCTAGGGGGCCTGGGAGGTGTGCGACGGGGCCTGGGAGGGGCGCGACGGGACCTGGGAGGGGCGTTACAGGGCCCAGGAGGGGCGCTACGAAGCCCAGGAGGGGCGCGACGAGGCCCAGGAGGGGCGCTACGGGGCCTGGGAGGAGCGCGACGGGGCCCAGGAGGGGCGCTAGGGGGCCTGGGAGGAGCGCGACGGGGCCTGGGAGGGGCGCGACGGGGCCTGGGAGGGGCGTTACAGGGCCCAGGAGGGGCGCTACGAAGCCCAGGGGGGGGGCGCGACGAGGCCCAGGAGGGGCGCTACGGGGCCCTGGAGGGGCGCGACGGGGCGCTACGGGGCCTGGGAGGAGCGCGACGGGGCCCAGGAGGGGCACTAGGGGGCATGAGCGAAAGCGGGAGGTGGGGGGGATCCTACCTACGCGTGATACCATATCAGAATTAGAATTGAATGATGGTTAAGTGAGAGTACACACAAATAAACCTAAGTGTTGTACCCTCTAAGAGGTAACCCTATACAGTCTATACAAACATAACAAATACAGATGTTTGACAGGATGGACCTACCTACTCATGATACCATGTTAATGTGAATGAATAATGAACACAAGTGGAACAAGGGAGATATATGTGTTCCGGTTGTACCCTCTAACAACATACAACTATCTAGCCTATAACTTCTACATATCAACAAATGTATAAGTTGACAGGTTGCACACTACCCGTGGCAGGAGGTACGATGCACGGTCAGAAGGTGTGGAGCGCGTGCTCGAGGGTGACGAGGGAGAGCACCAGGAAGACGGAGAGGTGCAGCGCCAGCACGTACGCCACTACCAGTGACCGCGCAAACGAGTTGCGCTGCAGCGCGCCGCCCACACGCAGACTCAGGCCGTCCAGCGCCCGTGCCGCGTCCACCACCTGCTCCCACAGGCGCCGGCGCAAGGGCCTGGGCTTGGCCTTGGCACTGGGGTCGTCGTCATCCACCAACCTGACATGGCACGAGGACATGAGGAGGACCGGAAGATGGATGTGGCACGAGACTGATCCAACTACGACCAAAACAGGTGAGGCGAAGTGAATGATGGGGAAGGAAAGGACGAGGTGCAGCACGAACAAGGCAGAGGGGCGGCAGGCGCAGGGAGGGTGTAACTTATTGGTGCTCCATGGCAGAGCGTGTGAGGCACACGCACATACCCTGCAGTGGCAACAGTGACTCCCCACGACAAGCCCAGAGCAGCCAGCACACCGCGACCACCTCCCCCATTCCCGCCCCATCCCCTCCTCGCCTCACCCCTCCACCGCTCACTGCCCCGGCTGACCACCTCCCCCCGGTCCCCACCCGCTCTCCCGTCACCTCCCCCAGTGTGTGCGCCCGTCTCCCCCACCCCCAGCAGCAGCTGCCTGCGCTCCGCCCGCGTGTGCTCCAGCTGCTGCTGCAGCGCCGCCACCTCGCTGCTCAGCGCGTCCGCCTGCACCTGCAACAGGGGAGGGGGGTGGGGGAAGGATATTGGGGAGAGGGGAATGGAGAGGAGTGAGGGGGGAAACGTGAGCAAGAGGGCTCAAAGGCTGGTCATGGATCGAGAGGCTGACAGTCTGTGCGCACCTCAGCATGGCCTCTGCCTACCCTCCTCACCCTCTCCATGCCTCTGCCCCTCACCTGCTTGCCTTGCACGTTCTCTGAGAGCGCCCTCAGCCTCACCTGCTTGCCTTGCACGTTCTCTGAGAGCGCCCTCAATCGCCGCTCCAGGTGCTTCTCGCGCTCAGCTGACAGGGACAGGGAGGGCAGGGCGGGGAGGAAGCAGAGGGCAGTGAAGACCACCTGCACACTTGTGTCAGCACGCCTCGGGCTACGGGTAATTTTACGGCGCCTAGAAGCTGGACTTCAGTCATGCAGACTGCCTACAGAGAAACGTTTTGTCGCTTGGAGGGCTGGGCATAACAATGAGCAGTCACTCGTGGCGCCTGCACTTGGCTGCTCGCTCACCTGCACTTGGCTGCTCGCTCACCTGCACTTGGCTGCTCGCTCACCTCTACTTGGCTGCTCGCTCACCTGCACTTGGCTGCTCGCTCACCTCTACTTGGCTGCTCGCTCACCTGCACTTGGCTGCTCGCTCACCTCTACTTGGCTGCTCGCTCACCTGCACTTGGCTGCTCGCTCACCTGCGGACGGCTGCTTGGCCAGCGCTGCCTGGTGCGTGTACAGCTGGTGCCTGAGACATGCCAGCTCAGCATCCAACGCGGCCTGGTGACGTGGCAGAGAGAACGGCAGGAGGAATTCCAGTGGCTGAAGTTAGTGATATGGGGATGGCAGGCGAGGGGAGAGGGACTGGCAAGGACGTCAGGAGGTGGGGGAAAGGAGGGTGCAGGACGAGGTAGTGCAGAGTGGGATGGAGAGGGGAGAGGAAACGCAGGCAAGGAAAGAAGAGGGAGAATGGAAGACAGGGGGAAGCGATGAGCAGACAGGGGGAAGTGAAGTGACAGGGACAGAAGTGGAGGGGGAAGAGAGATGATGGCAGCGAGGAGTGGGGAACGGTGGCAAAGCGAGCAGAAAGGCGCGTCCACGCACCAGCTCTTGCTGCTTCCCACGCTCATCCCCCGCTGCCCCTCCCCTCGCCTCCTCCGCCCCCCCCTCTCCTGCCCCACTGCCACCCCCCTCTTCCACTGTCCCCGCAGCACGCTCAGTCCGGCATGACGATGTGGCACCACACGATGAGTTGGCGGCCCTGAGTGCGTCCAGGCGTTCAGTGAGCAGCGCGTGACGCGCCTCAAGGTCCTGGTGCCGTGGCGGGGGTGCCAGGGGGGGGAGCGAGGGGAGGGAGTGAGGCGCATGGCAGGGGTGGCAGGGCTGGGGGTAATGATGGGCATGGATGTGGGGCATGCGGCCGCTGTAGCGCAGAGGGGGTGGGCAGGCAGGCCTCGCGCACAGCAGCTCACATCATGCCACGCGCACAGCAGCTCACATCATGCCACGCGCACCGCAGCTCACATCATGCCACGCGCACAGCAGCTCACATCATGCCACGCGCACAGCAGCTCACATCATGCCACGCGCACAGCAGCTCACATCATGCCACGCGCACAGCAGCTCACATCATGCCACGCGCACAGCAGCTCACATCATGCCACGCGCACAGCAGCTCACATCATGCCACGCGCGCTCCCTCCCCTCGTTTCCTCCTAGGATGCCGGTTCCAGGTTCCTCCCTCCACTCCCCGCCTCACAACAGCCCTCAATCACATTCCTCGCCTCACAACAGCCCTCAATCACATTCCTCGCCTCACAACAGCCCTCAATCACATTCCTCGCCTCACAACAGCCCTCAATCACATTCCTCGCCTCGCAACAGCCCTCAATCACATTCCTCGCTTCACAACAGCCCTCAATCACAATCCTCGCCTCGCAACAGCCCTCAATCACATTCCTCGCCTCACAACAGCCCTCAATCACAATCCTCGCCTCACAACAGCCCTCAATCACATTCCTCGCCTCACAACAGCCCTCAATCACATTCCTCGCCTGGCAACAGCCCTCAATCACATTCCTCGCCTCACAACAGCCCTCAATCACAATCCTCGCCTCACAACAGCCCTCAATCACATTCCTCGCCTCACAACAGCCCTCAATCACATTCCTCGCCTCACAACAGCCCTCAATTACAATCCTCGCCTCACAACAGCCCTCAATCACATTCCTCGCCTCACAACAGCCCTCAATCACATTCCTCGCCTCACAACAGCCCTCAATCACATTCCTCGCCTCGCAACAGCCCTCAATCACATTCCTCGCTTCACAACAGCCCTCAATCACAATCCTCGCCTCGCAACAGCCCTCAATCACATTCCTCGCCTCACAACAGCCCTCAATCACAATCCTCGCCTCACAACAGCCCTCAATCACATTCCTCGCCTCACAACAGCCCTCAATCACAATCCTCGCCTCACAACAGCCCTCAATCACATTCCTCGCCTCACAACAGCCCTCAATCACATTCCTCGCCTCACAACAGCCCTCAATCACATTCCTCGCCTCGCAACAGCCCTCAATCACATTCCTCGAATCACAACAGCCCTCAATCACAATCCTCGCCTCACAACAGCCCTCAATCACATTCCTCGCCTCACAACAGCCCTCAATCACAATCCTCGCCTCACAACAGCCCTCAATCACATTCCTCGCCTCACAACAGCCCTCGATCACATTCCTCGCCTCGCAACAGCCCTCAATCACATTCCTCGCCTCACAACAGCCCTCAATCACAATCCTCGCCTCACAACAGCCCTCAATCACATTCCTCGCCTCGCAACAGCCCTCAATCACATTCCTCGCCTCACAACAGCCCTCAATCACAATCCTCGCCTCACAACAGCCCTCAATCACATTCCTCGCCTCACAACAGCCCTCAATCACAATCCTCGCCTCACAACAGCCCTCAATCACATTCCTCGCCTCGCAACAGCCCTCAATCACATTCCTCGCCTCACAACAGCCCTCAATCACAATCCTCGCCTCACAACAGCCCTCAATCACATTCCTCGCCTCACAACAGCCCTCAATCACATTCCTCGCCTCACAACAGCCCTCAATCACAATCCTCGCCTCACAACAGCCCTCAATCACATTCCTCGCCTCACAACAGCCCTCAATCACATTCCTCGCCTCACAACAGCCCTCAATCACATTCCTCGCCTCGCAACAGCCCTCAATCACATTCCTCGCCTCACAACAGCCCTCAATCACAATCCTCGCCTCACAACAGCCCTCAATCACATTCCTCACCTCGCAACAGCCCTCAATCACATTCCTCGCCTCACAACAGCCCTCAATCACAATCCTCGCCTCACAACAGCCCTCAATCACATTCCTCGCCTCACAACAGCCCTCAATCACAATCCTCGCCTCACAACAGCCCTCAATCACATTCCTCGCCTCGCAACAGCCCTCAATCACATTCCTCGCCTCACAACAGCCCTCAATCACAATCCTCGCCTCACAACAGCCCTCAATCACATTCCTCGCCTCACAACAGCCCTCAATCACATTCCTCGCCTCGCAACAGCCCTCAATCACATTCCTCGCCTCACAACAGCCCTCAATCACAATCCTCGCCTCACAACAGCCCTCAATCACATTCCTCGCCTCACAACAGCCCTCAATCACATTCCTCGCCTCACAACAGCCCTCAATCACATTCCTCGCCTCGCAACAGCCCTCAATCACATTCCTCGCCTCACAACAGCCCTCAATCACAATCCTCGCCTCACAACAGCCCTCAATCACATTCCTCACCTCGCAACAGCCCTCAATCACATTCCTCGCCTCACAACAGCCCTCAATCACAATCCTCGCCTCACAACAGCCCTCAATCACATTCCTCGCCTCACAACAGCCCTCAATCACAATCCTCGCCTCACAACAGCCCTCAATCACATTCCTCGCCTCGCAACAGCCCTCAATCACATTCCTCGCCTCACAACAGCCCTCAATCACATTCCTCGCCTCGCAACAGCCCTCAATCACATTCCTCGCCTCACAACAGCCCTCAATCACAATCCTCGCCTCACAACAGCCCTCAATCACATTCCTCGCCTCGCAACAGCCCTCAATCACATTCCTCGCCTCACAACAGCCCTCAATCACAATCCTCGCCTCACAACAGCCCTCAATCACATTCCTCGCCTCGCAACAGCCCTCAATCACATTCCTCGCCTCACAACAGCCCTCAATCACAATCCTCGCCTCACAACAGCCCTCAATCACATTCCTCGCCTCACAACAGCCCTCAATCACAATCCTCGCCTCACAACAGCCCTCAATCACATTCCTCGCCTCACAACAGCCCTCAATCACATTCCTCGCCTCACAACAGCCCTCAATCACATTCCTCGCCTCACTCCAGCCTCCAGCAAGCTCTCCCCGCTCTCTGCCCCCATCTCACCGCACGCCCTCTGCCCCCATCTGACCGCACGCCCTCCCTCCCCGCACCTGAATGCTCCTCGCCACCCGCCCCTGCTCCGCCTCCCTCTCCTCCATCCGCCGCCTGATCCGCGCCACCGCCCGCGCCTGCCCCGCCTGCTCGCCCCGCAGCGCCGCCTCGCGCTCCTCCGCCTGCCGTGGGGAAACGAATGGGGCGAGAGCAATGGTAGGCCATGGCCAGCACTCCACGGAGTGGCTCATGCGTAATGAGCAACGCACAATGGGCAACGGGCAACGGGCAATGGGCAACGGGGCATGCACTAACACACAGCAGTTCAACAAACAAACCAGCGCGGATCTCATTACCAGCCATCAGCCCTCATTTGCTCCCATCTGCCACACCTCTCTGACACCCCTCCCCATCCCACCCACCCACCCGTCTCTCCTCCGCACCCATCCCACCCACACACTCCTCTCTCCTCCGCACCCATCCCACCCACACACTCCTCTCTCCTCCGCACCCATCCCACCCACACACTCCTCTCTCCTCCGCACCCATCCCACCCACACACTCCTCTCTCCTCCACACCCATCCCACCCACACACTCCTCTCTCCTCCGCACCCATCCATCCACCCACCTCTCGCCGCGTGGCAGCATGTTTGGTCCTCTCCTGCTCCAGCGCTGATGTGGCAGCTGCCAGCTCAGCGTGCAGGCTGGCCATCTCCTGCGCGGCCCGGTGCGCCATGAGCTGCGCGGCGTGTTGGAGGCGCTCCATCTCGCCCACCGCCACCGACACCTGCGCGCCGGGAGGGAGAGAGCAGAGGCTGCTCACGACCTGACGAGAGGAGCGGCACCTTGAACATGCCGTGCGCCTCCTGCTGGCATGCAGTGTGCTGCCAGGCCACAGGGTGCAGCACAGGCCATCACCATGGTTCCACGACCAGTCCGGTGCTCGCAGGTGTTGCTGCCAGCGATCAAACGAGTCACCTCGTGGAAGCGAGCGCGCAGTGAGCACTCACCGTTCCTCACCACCAAACGAGGGCGATGAGGCGTGGCGCAGTGAGCACTCACCGTTCCTCACCACCAAACGAGGGCGATGAGGCGTGGCGCAGTGAGCACTCACCGTTCCTCACCACCAAACGAGGGCGATGAGGCGTGGTGCAGTGAGCACTCACCGTTCCTCACCACCAAACGAGGGCGACGAGGCGTGGCGCAGTGAGCACTCACCGTTCCTCACCACCAAACGAGGGCGATGAGGCGTGGCGCAGTGAGCACTCACCGTTCCTCACCACCAAACGAGGGCGACGAGGCGTGGCGCAGTGAGCACTCACCCGCGCCTCCAGCTGGCTGCACTCGCGGCTGGCGTCGTCAAACTCGGCGCGCATGGGCGCATTGAGCCAGGAGTGCGCATCCATGGCGCGCCTGCACGCGCGCATGGCGTCCAGCTGGGCGGACGGGCTGCGCGCCAACGCCAGCACGCGCCGCACCTGCGACCCCAACACGCCCCGCGTGCTGCTCATGCTGCTGCTCACGCCAACGCTGTCACGTGGTTTGGGTTGAGATGCCACCTCGCTGCTGCCGTGTGCGCTCTCACGCTCCCTCGCACCATTGCTGCTGCTGCTGCTGCTGCCAGCACTGCCACTGGTGCAGCTCGGGAGGGTGGCGCTACCAACGGCTCCAGTGCTGCCACTCGCACTGCTCATGCGCATGCTCATGCTCATGCTCATGCTGCTGCTCCTCCCAGGATCATCCGTCTCTTCTGCCCTTGCTGCTCCTGCTGCTGCTATGGCTGCTGCTGCTGCCGCTGCACCAACTCGCTTCTCCCTATCATCCACCGCCTCGTTCGCATCTCCATCTGTACCCTCCTTGGTTTCCGGTGCCTCCCCCCTGCTGCTCGCCTGCACCTCCCCATGCTTTTCCCCTTCCCCAGAGCTCCCCCTTCCCTCGCCCCCCTGTCGCTGCGTCTCCCAGTCGCCTCCCCACGCCTCGAACTCATGCGACTGCCACTCACTCCTGCCCCTCTCCCCCCTCCCCTCGCCCCCGCACTCACTGCGTGCAGCAGCGCCTCCCATGCTCTTGCTGCCGTGCATGCCATGCGCGCTGCCACTGCGCACTCCCCCCATGCCACCGCTGCTCCCACCATCATTCACCCCCGCTGCACCACGCTGCTCAACGCCACCGAAGCTGACGGACGTCTGGCCGGACCTCAGGCTCGGGCCACCGCCGAGGCTTGAGCTGGGAAGCCACTGTGCACCCGTGCCCCCCCTGCCCTCCCCCCTTCCCGGCCCTCTACCATGAACGCCCCACCCGTCCTCCTCCCCCTCCCCCTCCACCACTCCGCCCAGCGCCCCTCCCTTCCCCACCCGCCCCTCCGCGCCTCCCCCGTCCTCCCCTGCGCCAGCCGTCCCTCTGCCCCGTCCCCAGCCGTCTGCGCCGTCCCACGCCCCCCGCGCGGCCCCCAGCGCCACCGGCAGGGGCTGGTCGCTGACATAGCCGGTGCTGGCGTACCCCGTGCTGCTGGCGTAGCCGTCGCTGCCGTCCACCCACGGCGAGTCCGACAGCTGCCCGTCCGCCGCCGCGCGCGACTGCCGCTGGTGCTTCCTGCGGTTGGGGGGGGGAAGGCGTGGGAGCAGGAGGAGTCTCTATGTCTAAGGCCTGGCATTCGATCCGCGCGAGCACCCATAGCCGTCGCCCATGAAGAGCCTTAGAGAGTAGTTTGAGTGCGATGCAGATGCGCGTAGCTAAGGGGTGACGGAAGGCAGTGAGGCTCTTGACATGCGACGCAGGTGTGGGATGCGACGCTCGATTCCACGGCGAAACACGACGGGGGTGGCGAAAGGGACGCGAGGGAACGTGGGAAGGAGTCGAGCGAATGAACGCCGCGTTGCGCGCACCTGCGATGCGGATTGGTGGAGTCGCTCAAGCTCGCCGCGGATTGGTCGACGGCCTCCAGCACGTTGGACGCCCACGACAGGAAGTTGGCCACCGGCTTCCGCGGCATGGCGCCGGGCGGGCTGGCAGTGACGAAGGGCGGCACTCGCTGTCGGGCTGACAGACCTCTGCTACAGGCGGAATCTAAGGCCTACGTGATGTCTCTTGTTGTGAACGCGCTCTCGAATTCCATGCCCCTTGCGACATCTAATTCGCAACGAAATGAACAGATTAGGGCGTGCTCCCGGATTTTCGAAATTCCTTGTAAAGAGGGTGGCCAAAGTAGACGTGGACATCAACCCTACTTTAACTGTGTTCACGATTGCGAATTCTGCCCAGACAGTGATGTGCATGGAAACTTTCTCGGCAGTTATCCCCTTGCGTCAATGAATGCCGACCGAGCAGCCAGCGCAGATTCCGCACCAAAGCTCGAAACAATGACGCCTTGCAAAAATGTTTATTTCGTAACAAAGAAAATCCAAGAACGGCTGCAAGGTCAAGCAAGAAGAAAGAACTGAGTCCGAGGACACTCCGTACAGTTCTAACTTTTACAACTCGGGTGTTCAATTATGGTTCAATATGCCAATATATCAAGATTTTCCTTCCTCTTTATGATAATAACTATGCACGATAAAACGCACAGTATATACTAAATAGACGTTTTCATACATTTTGTTGGGCTGAGAAAAGCCCTTGGGATCTTTTCAGAGACTAAGTCCCAGTTGTAAAAGACTTGAGTAGTGCAGCGGAAGTTTGAGTAGTTGAACCCTTGTACTAGTATATGAGAACAAGTGATTGATTAAAGAGACAAGCATACAGCAATATATAGGAAAGTAGGAAAGTAAAGCAGTTGTAGAATACAGTTGCAGGAGCAGTTATCGAGTCGCACAGCGACTCGATTGTCGCTTCGGTTACCATCCGTGCTGTTGTAACGGTCAGTCGCAACTTCCAGTTGCGACCCTTCAAGTCCCTTCGCGTTCTTTGTCCATCCCCTCGTGTAACCTCCGTTGGCTCGCGTACCCGTTGTGATCTTCCTCAAGTGTAGTGTTACACTTCAGAAACGCTTAAGTCCTTTGAGATATTTCCAACACTCCCCTTCGTTTCTGGAGTGCTGACGTGTTCAGATCCGATGACGTTTGTCTGCCCGGTCAGCATCATGCAGTAATCGAACTTCGCCTTCGCCAGTTTCTTCGTCAGGTAGTCTGCGGCCATTTCTGTTGTAGGGCAGTAACTGAGTTGAAGTCTCCCCTTCGCGATTTCATCTTTGACGAAAAAGTACCGCAGGGCAATGTGTTTGGTTCGGTTGGCGAAGCCGTCCTTGTTCGCGATTTTGATCGCAGATTGGTTGTCGCAGAGGAGTGAGAAGACGGGCAGGGTCGCGATCTTCGCTTCCTCGAGCAACTCTCGTAGGTAGAGTCCTTCCTTGGTCGCAGTGCAGAGGGCGATATATTCTGCTTCAGCCGAAGATAGTGCGATTAGTTCCTCCTTGCTCGACTGCCAGGAGATAGTCCCGATAGGTTCTAGTCGGTAGATGTAGCCCGTTGTCGATCGTCGATTTTCCCTGTCTCCCGCGTGGTCGGCGTCGACGTATCCGAGTAGTCGTACGGACAGTGTTGTTACTTTGCTGTAGGTAAGTCCGGTCGTCGGCGTGGAGACGAAGTAGAGTAGTGCCCGGTTGAGCTCCTCGAGATCTTCTTGTTCCGGCTGCTTCAGATGCGTCGCCAGTTGGCTCGCACTGTAGGAGAGATCGGGTCGGCAGGTTACTGCTGCGAATAGTAGGCAGCCGAGCTTCTGTTGATACTCCTGGATTTGCTTCGCGGGGAGTTTTGCGGAGGTGCTGTTGTTGTTCTCGTAGCGGTAGGGAGTTGGGATCGTAGTCGGCGTTAGACCAAATTTCTTCGCGACGGTGCCTGCGTACTTTCCAGCGTGTAGGTAGAACGCCGAGTTGTCTTCGACGACATTCAGTCCCAGGTACTGGGTCACTGCGTCGGATACCGTGAGTGTCAAGTCTTCTTTCAGCTCCCCTTCGAACCAGGTGGCGATGTCGGTAGTGGAGCCGATGTAGAGTAGGTCGTCGACGTAGACGATGAGAAGGATAAAGGCTCCTTCCTTCTGTAGTCAATACATGCCTTGGTCGTGCGGCAGTTGTAGGAAGCCGATTCTGACGAGGCGGCCGTGAAGGTGCTGCTGCCACAGCCGCGGGGCTTGTTTGATCCCGTAGAGGGATTTTATCAGCTGGCATACTTTTGAAGGGTCATCGATGAAACCGTGGGGCTGCTCGACAAAGATTTCGGCGTCCACAGATGCGTACAGGAAAGCATTTGCGACGTCGATTTGGCGCAGTGGAAGTTTCTTCGTGGCCGCGACGGCGAGTAGGATGCGCAGGGAGGTGTGACGGGAGACTTGGGCAAAAGTTTCTGTGTAGTCGGTTCCGTATCGTTGATCGAAGCCTTGTACGACCCATCGAGCTTTGAATCGTTCGATGGAACCGTCCGCGTTGGTCTTGATGCGGTACACCCATTTTCCCGAGAGGACATTTTTTCCGTTGATGCTTGTTGTAGGTACCAGCTTCCATGTATTTCGGTCTTGTAGAGCCTTTAGCTCCTTTTCCATTGCTTCCTTCCATTTCGCCTTATGTTCCCCCTCCAGAGCCTGCGACAAAGTCGAGGGCTCGCGCGGAGATGGCGGCGGCGGATGCTGGACGGAGACCCAGAGGCCGAGGATCTGCAGTCCCGTGGGTGTGTGTCGAGGGGAATTTTTATTCCCGGAATAGGCTACTTCGTCACCGTCTTCTGAGTCAGGTAAGAAGTTGGGGCCGATGCGTTCTGAAACATTTGTGTCGACCGGGTGGGGTGTAATGTAACCTTGGTCAGCGAAGTGGTAAAAGGTGTCGAGGTTGTTACTATCGAGAGGGTTGTCTTCGTCGAGTGGAACAGGTACGGAACAGAAAGGGAGTGGTCCGGCAGCTTCCGAGGCTCTAGGTACGTCTTCTTCTGCTGCGTCAGCCTCGGCAGCACGGTCGGCGAAGGAACGAAGGCCGGCGAAGCCGTCGGTGGGGTCGTGCGTGTTGGCAATGTTGTCCAGGTAATGCTGCAGCGTCAGTCGCTCATAGAAGATAACGTCACGAGGACAACAGGTTGTGCAGGTGGACTGCATGTGTTATCGCGTCTGGCCACAGTGTGGTGGGCAGACTCATCCCCAGGAGCAGCTTTTGCATCGTCGTCTGCAAGGTCCGGTTCATGCGTTCTGCGACCCCCTGCTGCTGGTGAGCGTAGGGCAGAGACACCAGGCGTCTGATTCCTCTTTCCGCCAGATAGGTCCTGAAGCGTTGTGACTGGTATTCCAGTGCACCGTCTGACTGGAAGCTCTTGAGCTTGGTTCCGGATTCTCGTTCGGCGATGGGTAGCCATGTCGTGAAGGCGTCGAAGGCTTGATCGCGCGTCTTGAGGTTGTAGTGCCAGACGTATCTTGTTGATGCGTCGATAAACGTGATGACATAGTTGAAGTCTGCTTCAGCGTCTTCTCGAGGCATGTTTAAAATGTCGCTGTAGACTTTTTCCATCGGTGCGTATGCAGGTGCGCTTGGGTTGTGATGAGATGCGAAAGGCTGGTGGGGAAGATCGGCTTCGGGGCACGTAAAGCACCGTGCACCTGGTCGTCGAAGTTCTTGACCGCTCGTTGTTAGGAGAGCGTTGCGTTCTAACACTTCGGCTTGGATGGTTTGTAGTATTGTACTATTTGCAGGGTGCCCGAGTCGTTGGTGCCAGATGTCGTCGGGAGCGCGATGGCCGGGCGAGCGGTGGTATATGTCGGTGTTGGAGAAGAACGCGACGACAGTGGCGGGACTTCGACAGACTTCTCGTGTGATGGGCATAAGTTGATCTGCTTCGGTTGGCGGTCCTCGAATCGCTGGTGGTGGTACTCGGCTGGGTCCTGCTGCTGCTACTGCAGGTGATGGTTGAGAAGGGATACTTGCTGGTACTTGTCGTTCTTGTCTGATGACTGCTAATGCTCGTGTTCTCTCTGTTGCAGGTATGGTGTTGGAGTGCCATAATCCGTCAGGGTCGAAGTCGGGATCAAGATCCGGCGGGTGTGTCCAGGCGGCGAACGATACGATTCCGTCGCTGTCGGCAGTACCGCGGTCGGGGACGAAGTCCAACACGAAGACGCCGGACTTCAGGAGAGCACGACCGATGAAGAGACCGCCCTTCCCGTGGTAAAGGCGAAACTCGTTGGAGTAGGAGTCGCACTCCAGGTGAATCCCTTTTGCCATTAGCTGGCTTACGCTTAGTAAATTGTATCCCAAGTTGTCGACGATGAGGACCTTGTTGAGTTGAAGTATAACATTTGTCTCCATGGATTGTAACTGAACCACGCCTAGTCTTTTTGTCTTCAGGTTCTCGTTGTTGGCGACGGTGATGATGACGTCGCGATTGAGGCGTCGCTCTCGTTGCATGAAGCGTCCGGAAGAACACATGTGTTGACCGCAGCAGCTGTCCAAGAACCAGGTATTTCGCCCGGTGGGTTCGGCGTTGGCGACCGCAGCGTATGTCGGGTTGACCTGAAGTCCTTGTGAGCGCGGCGGCGGAAGTTCTTCTTCATCTGGTGCGTAGGTGGGTGGTGATCCGGGTGCGCAGTTGTCGATGTGTACCATGCAGTTAATGATGTTCGGTGTCCCTTGTGCAGATGTGGACGAGCGCCTTGGAGAGCTTTCTTGAGTGGAGGCGACGTGTGGGTCTACTGGACGATAAACACGAGGACGTGTGCAGTTGACTTTGGAATGTCCGGAAGTCTGACAGTTGTGGCAGAACGGCGGCACGAAGGTGAGTCCTCTATTGTCGCGTTGATCTTGCTTGCCGCGTCTATTGTAGTTGTTGTCGTTCCTTCGCTGAGTGTAGAAAAATAACTGCTGCTGCTTCCTTGGTTGTCTTTCTTCGAACAGGTCCATCTCCTGTTGTTCTGCGTGAAGCTCGGCGCAGAGGTGCATCTCCGAGATCCTTCCGTGGGCGCGAAGAAGCGAGCGTGTGGTTCTCCATTCTGGTCCGAGCCCGGTGAGGACAAGCGTCACGAAGCTTTCCTCAGTGATTGTTCCTCCGCACCGAAGCAGGCGGTCGCGGAGGGTCTGGCAGCGACTCATATACTGCATCGCCTTTTCCTCGGTCTTCATCTGTATTGTTGTCAGTTGTTGCATGAGTCTGCTTTGTGTCACGCTGTCGTTTGCTTGATAGAGACACTTGAGATGATGCCATGCGAGTTCCGCGGAGTTTCCATAGCTCCGATATGTTCTGATGCTCTGCTGTTCTTGTGGTGACAGGTTCCGCAGGAGAACTGTGTACGCCAGCAGGGACTGATAAGTAAATATTTCTTGCTCCTTTGCAGTGCCGTTGCTTGGGAATGGCAGGGACCCGTTGAAGTATCCCAGGAGATGCGCAGCCTCCATCAGCAGCTCAAACTCAAAACTCCAGGCAAAGAAATCGTGTCCGTTGAATGGTGATGAAGTCTGCAGTTTGATTACGTGTGAAAACTGCGCCTGGAGACTTAAAATCTCGTTTGGTGTTTGTTGTGATGCAGCTGCTGTTGGTTGGGCACGGGGCGGCATGAACTCGAACGTCCCCGGTGAAGAGTGATAAGGCGCAAAGGTAGGCGCTTGATTGTGTCGCCCGAATGATGAATTGTCGAGGCTCATCGGTGCTAATCCCATGTTTCCTCCGTTGCTCTGTGTTGAATGCGCAGGTGTCCTTGTCTGCTGCTGCTGGTCGAAGTGCGACATGAAGCTGAAGAACCTTTCCATAAGGTTCGGATCCACGCTTGAGGAGGGTGATGGGGTCACCATCTCTGGTGCTCTTCGTGTTGTTTCTTGAGCAGCGCCGGTCTCGGTTTGCAATCCTGAAGTATGCAATCCAGAGTTGCCGGGTTGAATGTCTTGGGCGCTGGGTGTGCCCGTAGAGGTCTTCTTGCCCTTGCTGTCCATGACTTGTAATCAATGAAGTCGTTGATTTGCAGATTGTAGATAGAACATAGTTGCTGGGAGTTTGGTCTCTGACCAGCTCTCATACCATGTTGGGCTGAGAAAAGCCCTTGGGATCTTTTCAGAGACTAAGTCCCAGTTGTAAAAGACTTGAGTAGTGCAGCGGAAGTTTGAGTAGTTGAACCCTTGTACTAGTATATGAGAACAAGTGATTGATTAAAGAGACAAGCATACAGCAATATATAGGAAAGTAGGAGAGTAAAGCAGTTGTAGAATACAGTTGCAGGAGCGGTTATCGAGTCGCACAGCGACTCGATTGTCGCTTCGGTTACCATCCGTGCTGTTGTAACGGTCAGTCGCAACCTCCAGTTGCGACCCTTCAAGTCCCTTCGCGTTCTTTGTCCATCCCCTCGTGTAACCTCCGTTGACTCGCGTACCCGTTGTGATCTTCCTCAAGTGTAGTGTTACACTTCAGAAATGCTTAAGTCCTTTGAGATATTTCCAACACATTTCATATGAAATATATATCAAGGGAACTGATTGAAATTATTTATAAAATTATTCTCGAAGGTCGTCAAATTCATGCGACCCTAGTAAGTACTCTATTTCGATATGAAGTCTTAAATTCATAAAAAAGTTTGTACAAAAATACTTGATAATATTTAATAGATACATTCCAGTGCTGTAACACGATTTGCGTGTTAAAAATTACGAGGTACTGTATAAAGTCCTCCTGATATAATGGTTTCTGCTATGTGACGTGAGTGTACACCAAGCATATTGAGAAAGCTTGCTTTCCTTGTAGCAATGGCAACATGCTTCATTTCAAATGGGCAATTACTGTCAAACATATTTGTATAAGTTACTATAGCATAGATAGGGGCATGCCATAGAGAGTACAGCTGATTAGGTAAAAACTACCGTGTACCCTCACTTCTAATTCATTTTGCCACTCTAAGATGGTATCAGCTTAGGTTAGGTCCGCCCACCAGCTTCCACCCTAGCCCTAGCCTTAGCGCCACACTCTCCTTAGCGCCTCGCTAGCCTTAGCGCCCCGCTGGCCCCTCGCGCCCCGATGGTCCCTTTCGCGCCCCGCAAGGCCTTTCGCGCCCCGCCAGGCCCTTCGCGCCCTGCCAGGCTCTTCGTGCCTCGCTAGGTCCTTTACGCCCTGCCAGCCATTCGCGCCCCGCCAGGCCGTTTTGCGCCCCGCCATCCCTTTAGCGCCCCGCCGGCCCCTCGCGCCCCGCTGGTCGTTTCGCGCCCCGCCAGCCCTCTCGCGCCCCACCGGCCCCTTGCGCCCCGCTGGCCGTTTCGCGCCCCACCAGCACTTTCCCACCCCGTCAGCCCCTCGCGCCCCGCTGCCCGTTCCGCGCCCCACCAGCCCTATCGCGCTCCGCTGGCCCTTTGCGCCCAAGCTGGCCCGTTGCGCCCCGCCGGCTCCTTCTGCTCGCCGCTGGCCCTATGAGCCCTGCCCGGCCTTACGCGCCTCCACCAGTCGATGCGCCTCGCTTGCCTCAGTCATGTTCCCCTTCCTTTCTACCGTAGATCCGAGCCGCCGTGGAGCCGTGCCGCCGAGCCCCCCATGTCGTAGTGTCGTCGTGCCGCCATGCCGCTGTGTCGCCGTGCTGCCATGGCGTCGGGTCGCTGAGGTCGTACGATGGCGGACTCTGTACTCCGACTGGACACGGAGGGGCACGCGCTCGACTTCGCCGCCTGGCTTGTCGATCTCTGCCGTCACCTCACAAGTCAGGGCCAGGATGGGCACTCCCTGACTGTGCATGTCGATGGCTTGCTTCCCCGCCCCTCCGTGCCTGATCCCCTCCCTGCTCACCCCACCACTGCTTAGCGTGAGGCCTTTTCTGCTGCTGTGCTTGCCCACACGGTCTGGGATTCGCAGCATGCCGTAGCGCAACTTGCCATTAGTCACGCTCTTCCTTTGTCTCAGCATCCGCGCTTTACTGCTGTCGCGAACGCGAAGGAATTCTGAGATGTCGCAGTTGCGCGCTACTCCACGCCCGCCTCCACCTCTGCTGGCCGCCTGATCCTCCCCATGTTGATCCCTGATCTCGCTGCCTTCCCCACTGTAGCTGACCTAGCCACTCACCTCCGTGCACTAGAGGCTAGCTACAGCGCCGCTAGCACTGAGGCCCAGCTTACTGCCTTCCCCCCGCCGTTCTGTGCTACCCTGTTCCTCATTGCCACGTGCCTTCCGGACTGCTTAGCCACTACCCGCGACCACTTCCTTAGTCAGCACCCAGGTAACCTTAACCTCACCGCCTTTGTTAGCACCCTGTCTGAGATAGAGACTCGCCAGCACATTATCCCCTAGTCGAGCAGTACTGCGGCAGTCCCTATCTTTCAGGGCTGTGCGCCCTCCCAGTGCATGTACGCTGACGTTTCTGCCGCTGTCGCCATGACAGCCCCTGCCGCAGAGACCGCAGCTGTGGCCTCCCCGCAGCCATGCCAGCGTCAAGGC